CACACACACACACACACACACACACACAAGCTCTGTGGCCAGGAGAACAGCTGGGAGAAGTGTGTGTGTGTGTGTGTGTGTGTGTGTGTGTGTGTGTGTGTGTGTGTGTGTGTGTGTGTCTGAAAGCCTTTCACTTAATGCATGCATCTGCCTTTTCACATGCAGGAATGTTTGCCTTTGCATTATCTTATGTGCCACTGTGTGTGTGCACTGGTGCGTGTGTGTGTGTGTGTGCGTCCTACTGAATTTGTGCAAATATGTATGTGAAGGGAACGAGGGTTTTGTCGTCTCTCTCAGACAGACGGCGTGTGTCTCTACCTCCGTCACCCCCCCCCCCATTCTCAACCCGGTCTGGAGACAGGAGGTGGAGGAGGTTTGGGGAGGGGAGGAGATCAGTTGACCAAGAATGAGGCAGATGAGAAGATTATTCCAGTAGCGAGAAATGAGACAGAGACGGAGGGGAAAGGAGAGGATGATGGAGATTTTAGGACAGCAGCAGGGGGAGGAGGAGGAGGAGGAGAAATGGAAAGAAAGCAAGAGAGGATGGAGTGAAGGAGACAGGGGGGCTGACATGCTCTCTCCAGGAGTGCTGCGAGAGCTGCTCATTCATAATTCACCTCCATGGCAAACGTTCATTCACATATTGACCCCCCATGGCTGAGCTCAATGGAGTTCTCGCCCCTCCACCTCTCACTGTCTGTCAATGGACACCCCTGTGGTGCGACGTTCAGTTAGCCCGCTTCTTTTTCACTTTGGAGACAGTTGAAGCTCTCAGACGAGGCTTATGCCGCTTTTGTCCGTTATGGCCGTTTTGACGCCTTTAGTTTTTCCAGCTGGAAGCTCTGATGGGAGATTGAACTGTGTAAATTGAATATTGAATTCAGACTCCACCCTAGACACAGATAATTGGTATGGATGGATCAGTGGGTTAGTGCTCTCAGCACAACTGTTGTTTGTCTGATTCCCTCAGCACAGCTAAAACAGCCCATAATGGATCTATAATTCATGTGTGAATGAATTGAGTAGTATGCAGTTTGAATACAGTTTTTATTGGATGTCATCTCGTGATTTATTCAACATAAACACTCAAAAAAATGGCAGTTTTAATATTTCTCGTTGCACTGGTCAGGCTCAGAGCTACGCAGTAAGCGTTCTGGTCAGCTGTGGCTTTGAGCCACGTGTGTGTCTGAAATGCACCGTCAGAACAAAGTATACAGCAGAGGCTACAGCACATTTAGTTCTGAAAGGTAAACACTACAGAAGTGCACCTTATCAGCAAAAGTGAGAAAAAAAATGTCCTGACTTCTTAAGTTTTATAGGTGAAAAGAGGACACAGCACGAAGGTAAACTGGCGGGGGGGAAAAAAGTACCAGATTATAGTTAAATCAGCTGTTGTGCTGTGTGAAGATACGGCCCATATCTGGGCTCAGAGCAAGGCAGTGCACAGACGACGATCGCACTGCTACTTCCATTGTAAAGCGTTTGATTCCTGCCTGGTCAAACTAAATATGGTTACACTATTTATATTTATTGTTAGCCAATATCCCAGTCCTCATTGTAAACCCTTGAATTTTACCATGTAGCAAAACTTTCTTCCAAAATACATTGATGCATAGGCACAGGTGCAAATATAATCACTACTTTGTGTAATGGAGTACTTTTTCATTAAGAAATTTCCACTTAAAGTGGACATCTGTGGTCTGTGATCTGGTTTGTAGTAACTGGATACTATATTGAAATATTTTTGTTTCAAACTAAATATATCTGTATACAAGAGAGAATTATGTTTTACTGTTTAGTCCACTCTGCCCTCAGTGGAGCATTTGGCTGGTGGCAACATTTAGAAATGAACTCAACACAGGGGCAAACACTGCAGTTCCTCTAAATGTCCACTTGGGGCATTCCCCATAGACGCCAGTGTTAAAATGCCGAACTTAACAACGTTAAAAAGCACGTTCAGAGCCTGGGTAGAATATGTTTTTGGTCTTTATGGTTAATTTCCTCTTCATAACTACTGTACAGAGGCGGAGCCTTTTGAAGTGTTATTAATGCTTAAAGTGATTAAGTATTATAAGCATGGCTGCAATGCGCGGTGGATGGTTGCCACGACAAGCAAGCGTTGCCGGTAGCTGTTGGGTAAGCGCCACTTGAGCTAATATGAGTCACCACACTGGAACTTTGAAGTGAATTCAGACAATAATAATTCAGACAATTATCTGACTGTATGAGTTAGAGTCATTTTAACCAACAGAAATTCCAAGAAGTGAGTGCTCCAGTTTTGAGAAAATTAGCATTTTATGGACCTTGCTAACCTAGCAGCAAAAATAGCAAAGCTGACCCTGAGATTGGCGACAGCTACAGGAGAAGCTACAGCCACCCCTTGTGTAGAGTTATACAAGTTTTATATTTCCACCTCTACACTGCTAAATTCTCTGAGGCAACATAAGCCCCTCTTGATTGTACGCTACAGGTAGGCGCTGAAGTAAAGTGTGGTATTACAAAACAGCACAGGCCAGGGCTAGCTGAATAGCATGCTAGCTTCATTTGATATCTCTGCATATCTTGCCATAATGTCAGGACTGTTAACTAACATGCTAGTTTATGAACTGAGATTATTTTTCTCCTACTTATTTCCACTCAGAGATGAAAAAAGAGCTTTTGTTTCATTAATGTTGGAATCACAGACTGTATATAAAAGATGGACATAGTTATCAAAGTACAAAACAGTCTATGAGAAAACAGCCTTCAGCTCCCGTTCTCTGTCACCTTGTCAATGTTTTTTTCTCAACACGTTTATGGCTTATGGTTTATTTAAATCTTACTGAATAAAACATTCAAATTTTGTGAATTATTTTCCCCGTTAGAGTCAAAAGCTGGACAAAGCAGGATGAGCTGTTCTGTGTGACTGACACTCGATTATCCAGTGAGTGTCACAATCAGATCTACCTGTTGTTGTTATATGTGGTATCTGGTTTCAGAAATGCTCAGGTCTGCTAACCAGTGGGTCAGTTATGCTTGTAATCCGTAGTCCACCACGAGATGCTAAAATACTCCCACTCGCCGTATTTTTTTTACTTAACAGCTGCAAAGCAGCTCCAAAAATAATTGAACTTCTTAATAGCGATTTTTAAGCACCCAACAGTGCCCCGAGATTCAGTGTTGTCCCAGCTGACTTCAGATCTTTTAAAACTCAGTCAGGAACTCCTGACTCTGAAAACACTGATAGCAAGCCGGGAAAATTTTTAGCACGAGCCATTAAGCAAAAGCATCTTTAACGCCGTCGCCTCACTGGTAAATGCACCAACTGTGATGGGAAGTGTCTTTTGATTCTCTCCTGAATAAAGCATCGTCAGTTGGCAAATATGCATGACAACAAATTAAATATGTGACTTTTAGATATACCGTGAGTTTTTATTTATTTACAAGAAACAACTTGTAAACTTGAACTTGTGGCGGTGCTTTATTGATTGCAGTGAAGAAGAAAGCCGCTCTTTCTGTGTGTTTGCGGTAATCATTGTATTTCAGGAATTATTTATTAGTTAATGACTGAGCCCGCTGTGATTGATTAGGGCTGATGAACTTTGCCTTTCATGCACAGGTTCATATGTTAATGCAACCGGAGAGTTAAAAGACGGGCTGTAAATTGCAGTGGAAACGCAGCCGGCCAAAGTAGCCGAGATGGCTTAGAAGAATAATGCTCCTCTGTATCCCCCAGGTTATAATTGTCTTCAATAGGCCTCCTGCTGATTTGAAATGGACTCATTGTCCACAGTGCTGGGCACCTCTGCTCAATTAGCCCCTCTCTCCTTAAGTCCTGCTGAGCTATTGGCGGTCGCATCCTTAGATAGTGCACGCACATAAATGCTCACTGACACACACACACAAACGCGCACGCGCAGCATCGTGCATAGAAAGACGTCAGCGGGTGTAAAAATAGAGCTCATAAATAGGGGGAAAAAGTGTTTTATGTTTACAAGGGGTGATGTCATGTTTGGTGTAGATCCATAGCTGACGAATCGGAGGGCAGCTGTGGCGAGTATCAGTCCGCTCGGCTTTGGCTCTGCGATCTGGCGATTTTCTTTTTCGGTGCTTTTAAAGGAGCGGCGTTTAAGGAGTTGCAGTTTAATGTGTGTGTGTCTGTCTGCTTGTTTGTGCGTTTTCAGCGGCAGAGGCATGCACACGGTGACGCTGCTCTGGTTGCCAAGCAACACAGGAACGTGGGTGGAAGGATTTCCTGTCCTTAG